GGCGGGGTCGGATGATCTCTGCCAGGAGCCAGAGCCCAGAATTTCAGGCTCCGCAGGCCACAGGTAGTCAGTCTTCTTCCTCTTCTTTTTTTTTTTTTTCCCCCCCAATGTTTAAAAAAGGAGAAACCGATCTTGGCTCCAAGGCTGTACAAAAACAGGCCAGGGCCAGACTGGGCCCAAAGGCCACAGTTTCACAACTCCTGCTGCAGGTTTTAAATCTCCCTTCAAGTTCACTGTTAGCTCCGTCTCAAGAGTTCTGATATGTCACATTTTTGTTACTATCATTTCCATCCTTAAATTTTTATTGCAAAATTTCTATTAGGGTCTCTTCTTTGATTCATGTGTTATTTCAAAATCCCCATTTTCAAACTAAAAACGTATGTCTTATTTTTACCATTACGGTATCTCACTTCTAATGCCACGGCTTTCTGGTCAGGGAATGTCGTCTGTGCGCCAGTGATTCTCTGAAATGTCCTGAGACTTGCTCTAAGGCCCGCCACACGGCCCTCCTTCCTGTGGTGAGAATGGGTCCTCCCTGCTTGCTGACTGCAGGGTTCTGTATAAACCCATGAATGGAGCCTGTTATTTCTGTTGCCCAAACCCTATACCCCCAACTCCTAAGTGACCTGTCAGGAGCTGAGGTGTTTTGCACTCTCAGGAGGACACCAACTGTCCATTTGCCTCTGCGGCCCCACGGATTTCTGCTTGTCATGGCCCTGAGTGTAATTTAGGCAGCTGTCAGTCAGGGGTACCGCCAAGCCACACGCAGAGCTGTGCAGGGGTCAGAGCTGACATGACCTCCGAGGCCGAGTGACCAGTCCACGCACGTTCGTTCCCTCGCAGAGACGGCAGGACGGGCCCCGGCTCCAGGCCCAGCTCGGCTCAGCGGGCGTGATATAAAGCCGTGTGGCATCCTGGAAGCCGCCTTAGCGTCAGAGACGAAGGGGCGATGGACTGTGGCTCCGGACAGGCCTCTTCCTTTCCCTTCTCAGAATGCTCAGACGCCCAGGGCGAGCGTGAGAACCCGAAATTTATCTAAGTGCTCAGAACAGTGTCTGGTGCATGGTGAGTGCTCCGTGGAGACTCTACTGCCATGATTTCAGCCTATAGAGTGCCTGGGAACCACCAACCCTCGGGCTGACTCAAGACAAGTGGCCGTGGCTTGCTGACACCCCGCACAACTCCAGGGCCACCCATTGGGGACTCCTGGTTAAAAAAAGGACCAATGTAGATGCCACAAAGGGGGCTTGTTCCTTCTGGGACTGTGAAGGAAAGGGGGTCCAAGAACAACTTGGCACCCCCAGCGGGGCCGTGCGCACCCCCTGCAGTGGGCTGTCCCTCCGGGGCTCCCTGGAGAGGCGTCACAAGGCCAGGCTGCAGGACATGTCACAGGTACGGGTGACCCTCCAGCCTGCTGAAAGAGCCCCGGACTCGCTTAAATCACACGATAAAAGCACAACGGGGACAGTTCGCACCTGCAACAAGGCGCCAGGAGCCCGGGAGCTTGAGGTGATAGACATTATCACCACACCTGGGGCCGAAAGACACAGGAGGAGGAATACAACCAAGGGAAGGAACAGGGAAGACTGAAAAAGAACCAAAACAAATGTCTGGGGGAATAAAAAAGGTTCACTGCTGCGGATGGAACTCGGTGGCCTCGGCACTCGGCCAGAGAGAAACTGTGGCCTTGGGGACTGAGTTCGGCAGCGAGCTGGAGCCAGCACACCAAGGATGGGACGCCACGTGTAGAAAAGCAGCCAGGAGCCACGGCGAGGCCGGGAGGCAGGGCCTGACGTGGAGCCAGACAAGTCCCAGGAGCCAGCCCTCGCCATCTTTTGTCTGCTCACATCTACCTTTTGCTGTTATGTTTTTCACCAATGTTATTTGTAGCATGAGGGAAAAAAGAAGAGAAAAAAGAAATCTCTGTGTTAATTTTTTCAGTTGTCCTTGTTCAATTGAACTAGATGACCTCTGTACATGGTGGAGAACATACCCAAGATCGCTGCACGGATCACAGCCCTTAGCAGACATCCCGCAAAGCGGAGAACAGAGCAGCCCGGGACCAGCAGGAGGGAGCAGAGGGTGGGGGACTGGGAATCCTCACGGTCCCGAGTCAGTCCCCACTCAGACCTCAGGGCACTGGGAAGGGAAGGCCACAGGGGCCTGGGGGAACAAGGGCCACTTCCTCTGTTCCCGGCTCCACACGCTCCTTGGGGGCAAGTGTCGCGGGCCACAGGCCACCTGCCCAGAACCTGGCACCCCACGCTGGGCTCAAGGCTGCAGGGGAGGCTCCTGCCCCAGGAGGAGGGCACCGCCCAGCAGACACCGCCTGGGGACAGCAGGAAGGACCCGTGTGCTCCCCTCCCGACCTCCCAAGTAAGGCAGATCCAGTTCCACAAAAATTCACAGTGGCATTACTGGAATAAGCAAATTAAAATTCAAGTGCTGCATCACACACCTCAGACCTCGAGGTACAGAGAAAGCCCTGCACTTACTCGTCAAAGGAAAACGGGCGTCCACCAACACCACGTCCCCAAACTCTCTCGCACAGCCTGGCCAACCTCAGACGGCCAAGTTAACTCTGCCTTCACTTATCTCCATTATTCAACCATTTGATAACCTCAGGAATTTTCTAAAATGAGAAATCAAGTGCACACCTGAGAAAGATGGCCTCCCTGGGCGTGTTCCGCACACACGTGGGTCAGGCGAGGGGGAGCCAGAGCACCGTGACTCGCGCTTCACCCATTCACAGAAGATCCCGGGTGCCAGCCACTTGCTGGGCTCACGACGGCAACCTCCCAGCACACACGGCTGGGCCAGGGTGACAACCTGGAGCACCTGTGGAAACGCTGCGACCTGACCCCGGGAGACGGGGTCCAGGCCTAGCTGGTGGCCTCTGAGCACAGGGGGCAGGGCCTGGAGTCCCACCCCAGGCTGACAGGCTTGCGAAGCACCCAGAGGGCCCAGGAGAGCATGATCCACCAGGACACTGACGTCCCCCCCGTCCACAGGACAGCACACCTTACAGAAGGACACAGAGTCAGATGCCTGGCAGCCAAGCTCAGCCCCGGACCGGACAGAAAGGGAGGCCACGTAAAACGGCAGAGCCCCGCAGGCAGGGGACAGACCAGGGGGCCACGGGCCACCTAGCATGCTGCAGCTGTGTGTATCTTTGATGGTCCGTGTGTAAGTGTTGGGCAAAGAACCAGGAATCAGAACGGCATCAAGCTTTTGACCCGCATACTCAACGCCAGAAGTGAAAGCCGCAGGGGAGCGACTTCCGGCCCAGGTGCCCCGACGCCAGCGCCAGCCAGGCCACGTTTAATCGCACACCTCTCTTACACTCTCCTGGAGCCACACCAGGCATGCGCTGCAACCAAAAGGAAGGATCAGTGCAGGTGTGACCGGGGACCCTTGGAGGCAGGGCCTGCCACACAGGGAAGAGCGAGAAGGCCCCAGGGAGATGAGAAGGCAGGCAAGGGGCAGAGAAGCCCCAGCGGGACTCCCGTTTTCCAAAAGGAAGACCACAGACAACACCCAAACCGGGAGCAGCACAGGGTGGAGGGGACGAACCAGCAGAGGGACGTTATTTGGAATCAAGGAGCTAAACACCAGGCACTCGGCTAAGAGAAGGCCCAAGTGGCACCCAGGCAGAGAGGCTGGGAGCGGAGTGGCCACCTGACAGCCCCTCACCGAGAAGTGGGGGCAAGGGAGGTAGGCCAGCAGGGGAGCGGTACAGGCTCTCCCTCTCTGCCTGCCTTTCCAGGGCTGGAAGCTTAGACTCTGCTCTCTGAGTCCTGAGCCAAGTAAGGCTGAGCACCCGAGGCCTCTGAAGTGGCACAAACTGGAGAAGGAGGGGCCCCACTGTCCCCTCCAGGGCACAGACAGGTGAGGGAAGCCACCTTGGTCCCCCAGACCAGGCACCAGTGCTGGCAACGCCCATGGAGTGCAGCCCAGCACAGGCCTGCCCAAACTCTGGACCCACAGCGTCATGAGACGCGATGAGACGGTGGTTAAGTCTCTTGAGTTTTGGGGTGACTTGCTCCCCAGCAGTAGGTAAGGGGAACGGCAGAGAACTGCTGCTCTTTGTGAGAGAACTATTTTTCACTCTAAATTATATAGATACAGACAAAAGTAACTAAACACTTTTTATTAAAGAATTCAACATAGGGGCATCCCAGTCGGGACCCCCTCTCATTTCGAGAACTGTAACTTTTGGCTCTAATAAAACTATCCTCTAAAAAAAATTTTTTTTTCAACATAAAAGCCAAGAAAAATCTTTTAAGTCTTAAAATGTTAAAGAAAAAAAACAAAAACAACAGTATCTGGCCTGGGAAGTGCGACCTTGCACCGACAAGCCAGGAGCCCACCCCAGCTCACGCCACCGGCCTCCACCCCTCCCCACACTCCCGCCCCATTCCCGCCTCACTAACAGTGGGGAGACAGCCGCCGATTACACAGCAAGCAGTTCAGTGCGGAGGGGGAATCAACGGGCTCAAAAGTAAAGTGTCAGTTATTTTCTTTAAAAAAGAAAAAGGGCAGAGGGGTGTGCAGAGCCCACGTCCCGCCCTGCAGCACGCTGGGTGCTGGTCCCGGCGTGCACCGGCAGGTCCCCGCGAAAGCGGGCTGGGGTTGCCTCCCCCCGCCCCCCGCTCCAGGCGCTCTCTTGAGGACAGGACGAAGGCGGCCAGCGCAGGGTAAAGGGCAGAGCCTGCGGACTGTCAGTCGGGGACCCGAGGCTGCTCCCTCACGCGCTGGAGCCTCCGCGGAAGGTCCCCCACGGGGTTCCTGCTGCACGGCGGGGATTCGCTGCGGTCCCGCCCACTCCCCATCAGACTCTATCCTAACCGTGAACCCTCGGTCCGAGAGCGGGTCCGAGCGCGGCCGGCCGCCAGACCGCGCACTCGGGGGCCCAGGGGGCCTCCGTGTGGCACAGGAGTGGCGCTGGGCTGGGCCCACGGTGACGCTGCCGGGAAGCTAGCAGCGCGGTGGGAGCAAACACATGAACCGTAGCTGCGGGCAGGAGAATATCAGGTGCATCTCTGAGCCCCGAGGGCCCGACTCCTACACTTAAACCCCTCCCACCGGGACGGCGCTCCAGTTCCGGAGAGCAGCCAGCCTGAGCACAGCCCTGTCGCCGGGCACCGCGCTGCAGCTCCGGCTCCCGCACTGCCTGCCTCCGGTAAGTTCCTGCCATTTCTTCTCAAATTCACTTTTGCGTTCGAGCTGCTCTCAGAAGGAGCTGACGCCGCGTGGCTCGTGCCGCCTGCTCTGTGCTGGGGTCAGGGGGGCCCAGCAGGTGCACTGCGGGGGGGGGGGCCGTTGTTAGGCGGCTTTAACGAGGCTTCCACGCCACTCTAAGCCTGCACACAATCGGACCGGGACATGAAGTCCTCGTTTCCACCAGAAAGTGCTGAGATTTCAGGCAAAATTGAAATTTATATTATTGCTTATCTTTTTCTCACCTTAAAAATAAACTATAAGTTTCAACATAAAAGAATCATATATATATATATATAGATGAGATTAGAAAATTGCTGATTTTAATTTATAGTTTGTTCAAAACTTTTTAAAGTTTAAAATAAGTTCTGTTTTGACATAAGGTTACAAGAAACTTCATGAAAGAGGACCCCTACATATACAAAAGGAGGGTGTGTGTTTTTTTTCCTTCGTAAGTTTCTCATAAACCCCGCGTAAGAACAATTACTAAGTTGCCAGCCAAGGGTGAGCCAGGGCAGGCTTCATCTAGGCGGAATCTGTCTAATCTGTTGTCCTGATCGTTCTGCATCGGCAAGTCCTCCCAGGGCAAGTCCTCCCAGGGCTTTAACCCGGGGTTGGGGTTTGTGAGGAGGAACCGGGCAGCTGAGCTCGGCTCTGCTGACAGCTGTGCAGTCGGGGATGCTGGGAGCTCAGGTCTGTAACTCAGGACCCCTGCTGAGGCCAAAAGGAGCCCCGCTGCCAGCTCACACTCCAGGAAGCTGTCTCTCTCCCAGGTCAGGGTCGTTCCTGAAGTTTACCCTTTATTTTAAAGAATCAAAAGTCTGGGAGGGAGTGGTGGTTAATCACTGGAAAAGCTCAATTGGAGTAAAACTCACAGAGCTGGTTGTTGCAACACCCCGGTGGGTAGGCAGGCGACAATGGCGTGTCCCCGAGTTATGCAACAACGCCACCTCACAATATTGTAATTATAGCATGCCCTTCACAGCGCTCCACCTGGCGAGGCCCTCTGCCAGCCGGCGGCCACACCGAAGGGACTCTCGGCGTGATTTCAGGGCACAGGCTCCCAGCTGGGCACAGCAATGTCCCATAAAGTTAAGCTGTAATTACCTCCATTGTGTCCTATCAGGGTTCAGAAAAATCTCCCCCTCGCATCTAGTTTCCAGGGTTCAAACTTGCCAGCCACTCACTATCATGCTAACTGGCAGCTACATTGATCGTCCACACTGGGAGCCTATCGAAGGACAGCAGACTGGCAACTTAGCACTTCAAACACACACAAACAAAGCCCTGGGGCCCATCGAAACCACAGGGCGCTCCGAGCGGTGTGTGGGCAGCTGTGCCCATCTGATGGGTGTGGGCCGGGAGCAGGGCAGAGATGCATGAGGCAGCCAGGGCCGCCCTCGGCAGGAAAGCAGGTCAGCAGAACACAGCAGGTGTTTCACATGCTTGGAAAGTCACAAAGGGACACTTTGAATGGAGGAGCAGCTCTGTGGAAGCTCCCAGGGGACCCTGTGGGGACCCTGTGGGGACGCTGCCCACCAGCTGCTGAGTCTGAGCCAATTCAGAGGGAGGTTGCCGGGCACGCCCGCCCTCATCCTGTCACAGAGGAGGTCCCTCTGCCGGCAGGGCACTAGTTCCCCAGCTCCTCTCAGGGGCAGGCAGAGACCCGGACCCCACACCTGTCAGGAGCCATCGGAGTGGGAGTGAAGGGAGGGTGAGAACACGTGTCACATAAACGCCTTTTAGGGATAAGCAGACATCTGGATCTGAAAACACGCTAACCTGCAGGGTCCTGCTGGACTAACACCTCACTAGGGAGCTCTGGGGGTCGGTGCTGACTCAGCAGGAACCTGCGTCCCCAGGAAACGCAGGGCAAAGCGTCAACGCCGCCAGGAAACACTTGTCTCCAAACGCAAGCCCACCTGAGACACACAGGGAGGGTTCTGGGCTGGACGTTTGGTGGCAGCGCCCTTGTTGGGACATTTAACGCCAGCAGCAGTTTCAGTTCACGCCGTGAACCTCTGGGGAGGGGCAGGCCTCACAGGCTGTACCCTGGGAAGCTTAGAAGGGCCTCTGTCCCCCACTTCTCTCTCTGATGTGACTGCCCGACAGCCGAGTAAGCTCTGCCCGTCCCCTAGCACGTGAAACATCTGTATCCCTTGTCTGAATTAGCGAATTGGGCAACCCAGAGAGATCAGTTTACCCAGAGGGACTAACACGGCTGCACCTGTGGCTGTCGGGCAGCTGACCTCCCAACAAGGAAACCCTGGGGTCCGCTCTCCTCCCAGAACCCTGGCACCAAGGACAAACACCCGAAACCTGTTTACTGTCCTGGCAGCCAACCCACCAAAGATCAGAAAGTTCAGACCAAAAGTCCACATTTGAGTGAAAATGGTACATATTAACAGAAAAGCAATTATTTCCCAAATTATTATTTGGGGTGATACTAGGATAATCTATGTATAGCTCACCTCCTGTAAACAAGCCTTTGAGAAGAGTAACCAGTTGGGCTATTTCTATTGTTACCTGAAAGTGTCAGCGATACTACCTAACACGGCTCCTGGGACTGACGTCACCATTCCCTAAATCCCGAGGGGGCCTCTGTGCAGGGCGGGTCTGCGTCCCTCTCAGCCTCACTGGAGCTCTGGCTCCCACCTGATAAACGTTTTGCAACTGTCATCATTTTGACCGTGATGCTCGCAGCTAGTGATGAACTCATCAGTTTTCAGGTCTCTGCCGTAACACACCCTGTGCAATCATGGGAACTTGACTTGCAGAGGTTCTCACGCCTTCAGAATCAGGGAGCATAATGAGACGTGCCAGCACAGGCCCCGCTGACTTACCGGGCTGGCCGGGCGCTGGCTGCAATTGCTTCCTGACGGGAGGCGAGGAAACTGTGCTTTTATCACCCAGAGCGCATCTGGCCCCCAAGGTATGGAATGAACTCAGAAAGAATTATTGCACGTTTTTTCCTGCAATAAGAGGGAGAATTGGAAAGGCATGAAGCTATGCTCAGCCTTGCGGCTCCTGCAGCCGCACCGCTGGGAGATGGGGAGCACAGGCTCGGGGGTGCGGGGGGGACTCGGACTGCCGCAAACCCTGTCCACAGGCTGTGCCCACGGACGGCCCTCCAGCTCTCCTTCCTCAGGCAAACATGCGCCTCGCTACGGCAGAAACTCCCGGGGGGCTGCCGGCATCAACACAGCCTTCCATCCACCAGACCACCTGTCAGGAAATCAGCAGGTCTCCGAAGGACCTGGGTGACAGAACGGTGTAACACGGGCAGTCTGTCAGTGGGAGAGTGCTGTTTTGGACTTTTCAGAAATACGAATAAATGAGTAGAGAAACCAGTTTGCTGAGAATAAAATCGGGTAGCTTCCTGGGAATTTAAGGTATCTGAGCAAAAATTAAAGTTCCTCCCACTTTCAGTCTCCTCCCGGAAAAGCCCCCACGACCTAATCTCTCGGTGGGACCGTGCAGCCAGAGTAAACCAGGTTGACTTAGGTCCCCAGACGCAGTCCCATGTGTAAAAGGCTGCTTTCCTGGCGAGTGCCTCACGCGGCCCAAGTAGAGAAGGGGGCGCCTTGTATATGAAACCCAACCACATCTGCCCATTCCTTAAAGCGAAACTGTGGCTGGAAAGTTCTGTGGAACGGTTTCCTTTGAACTTTATTTTTAAGCTGTCTGGAAATATGTACAAGCTGAAGACCTTTTCCTTTTCACATCTGTATGCAAATTACAATGCTGGGCCTCAATTCCTGCAGCCGTCCCCACCCACACCTTTCTCTCAGACACAGTCGCTCCGGGGGCCACTGGGATCCTCCCAGACCAGCCGTCTTTGTTCTCCGCTTGGGGTAGGAGGCCGTGAGAGCCACCAGGAAGGAAGGCTGAGGCCTCCGGCTAAGCCTGGGGGTGGTGGGCACGAGCGGGAGAACACTACAGGGAAGCAACCTGAAGGCCAGACACATCACAGCCCCTGCTGGGACCCAGGGTCTCCAGGAGGAGACAACCCCCTGGCCCCCCATGCCCTGCCTGCTGCCTGCCCAGGACCTGGGTGGGTGTGGCCCGAGGTCTGGATGGCCAGGGCCACTTCCTGAAGGCTCCCTACCCTGATCCAAAATCTTTACCACAGGCACCACTCACACTGGGCTCCTCTGGTTCCTCCCAACTTCCAACCATGAGGGCAACAGAAATGAGGCCGGAAAGGCAGGCAGGCAGGTGCTGCCCACTGAGTGCCGGCCGGGCAGGGAGGGCATCGAGGGCGCACCAGTGGCAGTGGCCATGGCGCCGGGCCCTCGGACCACCTGGGCAGCACATCTAAACCGTGTGTGTCCACACAAATCCGCCCTTGCATTTGTACCTGAGAATACAGGTGCTGCTCCCCGATACTGGGTTTCATGTGCGTTTTCAGAAGCAGGAGGCCTCTTCACGGCTAACTCGTGTGACAGGACGCCGCAGGTGGCTACACAGGGAGCACTGAGTGACCGGCAAATGCACGCCCCCTGTGCTAGGTGACCACGCGGGAGGCCAGGCCTCCCGCAGTCACGCTGGACGGTCATACCCTCTTACTGTGACGTGACTCAGGCCAGAAACTCCATGCCTGGAGCGGGGCAGGGTCCCCAGTCACTCGGCCTCCTCAGTCCACACATTCCCACATCTGAGGCCCCAGGTCCCCAAACTCAAAGAATTACAGGTATTCTCAGGGTTGACACTCCACAGCGCCCCAGCAGTGCTCTTGGCCCCCAGGTAATTCTCTGTGGTGGGGGTGCTGGCCGGTCTGAGGGGGGCCAACACTCACGGCCCCGCGCCCACGCACACTCACTGCTCCTCCAGCTCCCAGGGCCTCACGTCAGCCCCTCAGTGAGGGCAGGTTCCCATTAGTCCTTCCGCCAGCATCCTGACACTAAACTCTGCTCCTCCATTACAGCTCCGGGCCCCAAATGAGAGACTCCTTCCTCGTGGGACCCGCAGCACGAGGCGCTGGCTGCCCATAGGGGCGTGTGGAAAGAGAGCAGAGTCTGAGCAGAAAAGGAGGCAGCAGAGAGCGCTCCACCGGGCGAGGGGAGCCTGAGCCAAAGAGAAAAATGAGTCTCCTCAAAGAGCGGAAACCAAAGAAGCCGCATTACATCCCGAGGCCTCCGGGGAAGCCCTTCAAGTACAAGTGCTTCCAGTGCCCCTTCACCTGCAACGAGAAGTCGCACCTTTTTAACCACATGAAGTACGGTCTCTGTAAAAACTCCATCACTCTGGTATCAGAGCAGGATCGTGTCCCCAAGTGCCCCAAATCTAACTCTCTAGATACTAAGCAAAGCCATCACCCCGACTCAGCCGGGAAGCCCACCTCCTCCAAGTCTCTCGCAAACGGGCTGCCCCACCCAGATGCCAAGCTTCAGCTCGGCCTTGTCAAGGACGACGCCAAGGAGAACGTGGACCTGCGTGCACGCGGGACCCACAAGGGCCCCGGACAGAAGCCTGCTCTGCTGCGGGACGCAGCACGCGCCAGCCCAGCCCCAGAGGCCACCACGGGCACCCCGCCTGCCGCTCCAGAAGGCATCGGGCGGCCCTCGGCATTCGTTCCCGTGGGAGAGCACAGACTCAAAGGGCCGGAGCTCACAGAGGCGCCAGAGACACTGACCCTGTCCAGCCCCACCGCCAAGGCAGCCGCTTTCCACACCAAGTCCGCCTTCCACGCCCCCGGCCACCCCTGGAAAGCTGGTTCGCCTTTCCTCCCGCCCGAGTTTCCACACAAAATCCCACCTACCAAGGGGTTTGGGGCCCTCTCCCCTTACGTGCACCCCACCGTCCCAGAGTACCCGCCTCACTTTTACACAGAGCACGGACTGGCCACCATCTACTCACCCTACCTGCTGGCCGGGAGCCCGCCCGAGTGTGACGCCACCCTGCTGTCCGTCTATGGGGCCCAAGACCACAGACACTTCCTGCCTCACCCCGGGCCAGTGCCCAAGCACGTGAACCCGCCGCCCTCGGCATACGACCATTACAGACTCCTCCAGCAGTATCACTCCAACTTGTCGCTTCCTTACGGGTTTTACAGGCCAGAGTCTGCCTTCTCCTCCTACGGCCTCAGGCTCCCGCCCGTCGCTGGCCTTTCACACGATCAGAGCTCTCACCTACTGGAAGAAGCCGCCCTGGTCTACCCGGCCTCAAGTCTGTCCAAGTTAAACCCTTCCAGCTCCCACAAAAAGCACACAGAGTTTGAGAAGGGGAGTCCGACTCCCGAGGCTGAAGACCCTTCCAAAGATGGGCAGAGGGACACGGATGGGACCAAAATGAGCCCCCGTGCGGGCAGCGCAGCCACAGGCTCCCCGGGAAGGCCAAGTCCCACCAACTTCACACAGACAAGCCAGCCATGCACGGGGCTATGCAGCCGCTCAGACAAGCCTGCCTCGAGCATCCTGGGAAGGCTCCCGCAACACGACCAGAGCCTCACGGCCTTCAAGCCCGTCAAGAAAAGCACAGAGCACCCACACTCCCAGGCTCCAGAAAACAGAGACGAGTCTCCAAAAAGGTAAGAACGCCTCCTTTCCCTAACCTCCAAAGTAATGTCTCCGCTGTGCTGTGCGCAAGCTCACAATCCCCCAAAGTGTTTCCCATGGCAGCTCTCCTAGGCCAGGCCCTCACTAAGCCCTCTCTTTGCCTCCTGCAGCCTTGACGCCGTGGACGTGGGCGCTCCGGCCCAGACAAGAAGCGCCTCTCGCGGCATGGAGGTCACGCCTTCCAGCCCAGAGGACGGCTCCAGGATGGCCCCGTTGAACCTCTCCAGGAAACCAGAGCCCAAGCCGGCGGCTGCCCGTGACCCCGTGTACAGGGACTTTGCAGAGCTGCAGGACGCTCCTCTCAACCTGTCGGTGAGGGACCCCTGCAATGCCCTGACCCCCAGACTTTCCTTCCACCGCCCACCAGGAGAGGCGGAACCCGCTGCCGCTGCTGCTCAGAAGGTTGAGCCGGAAGGTTCTGGAGATGGGCCAGCCCACACCGAGACAAAGCAGAACGGCCCTGGCTCTGACGAGGCCCAAGTGACGACCCCCACCGGGAAGGCCCAGGACGCGCCAGCGGCAGACAGCGGTGACGAGCAGAAGCAGACGGCGGCCGTGGCCCTGTGCCAACTGGCGGCCTACAGCCCTGTGGGCGATAAGGAGCCCTTGGCCCAGAAGCCCACCTGCCAACAAGACAGGGCCGCTCCTGGTGCCACGGAAAGCCAGGAGCCTCAGAGTGACCTAAGGCCCAAAGGGCAGAAGAGGACAAGCCCGCGGGAAGCGAGCAAGTCCCAGCAGGGAGCTAAGAAGGCGAAGCCGAGCGACACGGCCAGGGTGTTCACGCTCCGGAAACGCACGCGGGTGTCTTAATGCTGCTCGCCAGGCCGAGCCGTGGCTGCCTTAAAGGGCAGGGCACAGCGCCCCAAATCTGCAACAGCACCTTCAGTTTTTATCTGGTCAATTTTTACAGTGTAGTCTCTTTTTTCTTCTCAAAAAAAAAAAGTTGCAATTCAATTCACTTTTTGTAAATATTAAGCATGAATATTAACAGGTGCTTCCACTTGGGGCTGTAAAAATATTTGAATGACTCACAGTCTAAGACTGATGAGTTAAACACTGGCTTTTATTTTTGTAAAACATCAAATGAAATGCATAGGACTAAAAGGTAACTTTTAGGTGTAAGCCATCACATAGAAAATCTTTTAAAAATACTTTTCCTATAAGTATCTTAGCCCTGGAACAAATTGTTTTAACTGTATTATTAAATCTACTGTGGTTTTTTGAAGTAAATAAAAATTACTAAAAATGCCAGAAAAAAACATTTTCAGTACTAGCATTAAGTGATTTGTCACAACTGAGTAATAAATAAACATCAAGACGCTATTTATACAAATAATTTATTCTCATTCAGGAAAATGTGCTACTGGAAAGTTATTATCATTGTATTCTATTTCCTTATAACGTTACAGTGAATTTTCTGACTCATTTAGTCTCATTTTCCACTTCCTAAAATGATGTATATATTGCTGATTTTCCAATAAACCTATAGGCAAAATTTATGGATACACAAAATGAAAACAAATATGAATTCTGTGTTATACTTTATAGAGTATTTTGCTACAAAAAACTCAGTGGAAAAAGAGAATAGAACTGAGGCAGCAATTAAAAGAGAAAAAGAGGGGGCTGGCTGAGTGGCTCAGTTGGTTAAGAGTTCACGCAAGAGTTTGAGCTCTGAACGACAGCAGTTCGATGTCCGGCAACATGTGTGAGCATGTGGCGAGCACGTGTGACATGTGACAGCGTGTGTGACAGCATGTGTGTGTGACAGCCCGCGTGACCGCACGCATGAGCGCCTGGAGCCAGTGGCCATCAAGTCCGGGCCCCGGGCCCCTGGCCCCTGGACGACTCCATGGGCCCTCGGCCTCAGACTGTTAGGACGAGTTTCCCCCGCTTCCTGTAACTGCCGCCTGAGAAAAGGCTGCTGGGCGACCCGAGCTCCGCTTCCCAATAGCCCTTCCTCCCACTTTCCAGGGGAGTCTCTTGCCCACCACAGTGCCTGGGGTATCAGCTGAAGGCCCCGGGAAAGGGCATGTGGTGCCGACGGTGGGTATCAGTCGTTGTCACCAGAAGGCAGGAGTTCCTTGCAGAGCTGTCGGGTGAGATCAAAGAACGAACACAGAAGCCATGCCCAACTGCCTGTGTGTGGAACAAGGCTTCTCAGCACTCACAGCTGAGAAGTAAAGCCTTAAATAAAAACGTGTCAATGCAGAACCCCGCCTCGTTCCAGGCTCAAGTGCTGCAGCCCAACGAAGCGTTGTTTGCTGTTGTTTCGGTCAACTTTGTACTAATCATTACTTTTTTAAAAACTCAATCTAGGAAGCATCTTACATATGTACTTAGCACCTCACGGTGTGGACATGCCACCGTCACAGTTTCCGTTCACAGACGTCCTCTTGTTGTAGGTCCGTGAGAGGGGGAGCACAGAAACACACCCCATTAGGAAGAACCCTCTGGGACAAGTACATGGAAATATGGGGTGAGGGAGACAAGGGAAGGAGAACATCCTGAAAGGAAGACCATCTACGCATTTTTGAATGGAGGGTGGTAGCTGTGAAATTATCACGATACCCAGGTTTATATTTAGACACAGAGGTTTTATTTTTAAATGACAGCACGCAGGAGAGCAAACAGCTGCTTTGCGACACATTCAGTTTAAATAAAATCACCGATACTGACTCATAAAGGGATGCAGAGCTGCTCACAATTCTTTTAAGGCGCACATGAGGCCACCGTTCCAGACGGCCCTACAACATCTGGGGCCCTGCGGACCCTGCCCAAGGGGCACCCTCAGACAACCACACAGCACTGACCCAAACGCACCTGTCATGACCCGAAACCGATGAGCCCACGATCGGCCATCACTAGCACGCCAGTGCCCCTGTCCCCATGTACCAGTATATTTTGACAAAGAACAAACGTAGGAGGGCCCTGCTTTCTGGCAGGATGCAGTGCCATGCCTCAGAGGCTGAGTTCCAGGACCCACCGCCTCTCGCCTACAGACACGCTCTCACCTCACGTTACACACACGAGAACGCAGACCTTCCGTGTCAAGGGCCCAAAGGCTGTGAGGGCACTGTGCTTCCCAGCTTGCCCTAAGTGTCAGGCATCACCTTACATGACAGGCAGAGGGACCCGGGACAGCTCCTGACTGCCCAGCCCTCCTGCCGCAGTGCAGCCTGGGAGCCGCTCACCAAGGGAGACTCGCGGGGAGCCGAGGCCCGAGCTGCCGGCAGACTCCCGCCGAGGACCTGTGTGCGCCTGCTGCTGAAGACTGAGCCCCACTCCTCCTAGGGCAGGCCCTCCAAATGTCACATGCAGCAGCCACAGAACCGGGGCAGGCCCTCTGCAGCCCACAAAAAGGCTAGATAGGTCCTTGGTTACAAAAAGCAATCACACTGATTGTCAGCCATCCTACCACTCTGCATTCATGTAGGACCCGATGTTAAGAGCTGCAAGCTTCCAGCCTTTACATACAAAAAGTGACAAACCCTCAAAAAGTTAAATGGAGAATAACCCTATGACCTAGCAATCTCACTCCTAGAACAGACCTGAGAGAAATAAAAGCAGGGACTCAGACAGATGTGTGGGCACCAACGTCCACACAGCACTCCTCACAAGAGTCAGAAGAGGAAAGTGACCCAAGTGTCTGCTGACAGATGGACAGATACACGAAACGTGGCCTGCCCAGACAAGGGAGCATCATTCGGCCATAAGGAGGACTGAAGCTCTGCTGTAACTTGTATTAGCCGAGTGAAGGAAGTCAGACACAAAAGGACAGATGTGCAGCTCCACTTATGTGAGTCCCCAGAAGCAGGCAGGTTATTGGTCCCCAGGGGCTAGGGGAGAGGAATGGGGACTTAGGGTTTAATGGGGACAGAGTTTGTTTGGGACGGTGAAAAATTTGGAAATAATGATAATGGTTGTACAATACTGTAAGTGTAGTTAATGCCGCTGAATTGCATAGTTACAAATAATATGGCAACATCTATGTTATGTATTCTACAATGTTTTTTAAAAAATTAATAATGAAGCACGCCGGGGGAGGGGGGTTGTCACTTCGAGGGGTAAAAAGTATAACTATTGCACTGTGCTGTACAGCTGAAACTAATTCTAAAAAATGTGTATTTCATAATAAAAAATAATAAATAAATAAATAAATAAAATAATGAAGCACGCCAAAACCATTGAATTGTATACTTTAAATACGTGAATTGTATGTTAGGTGAATTATACCTCAAACCTGAAGAAATTGTTTAAAGGTCCCTTGAATTAACATTGAAATCTTTAAAAATGCTAACAGCAATCTTTCTAAATAGTCTTACCAATGGCCCATGGCAAACTATCCCCATCACAGGTTTTACCCTTCAACCCAAACGCCACGCCCCACAGGCAGGGAGAGCAGGCTGGACACGAAACAGAGCAAGCACACATTCCCTCAAGGAGAAAAACATTTTCATACAGAAAAATACGACAATGACTCCACACACTGGGACAGAGATATCTCGTTATGGTCTCTACTTTTCTTACAGACTGGAATCTCCAACAGCCCCAAAGCTGCACAAATGTTAAAAATCGATAAAGCGCACAGTCATCAGAAGGAAAAAGTGCCAGGCGTGTCAGGAACTCTAGAATGGGACCCCTCCAGGCCCAGCTGCTCCTCGGGAGCTGAGGCACACAGGTCTGTGGGGCGTGACACGGTCAGAAGAGGCGAAATGCTCAAGGGAACCAAGAGAACGATGTCGGCTCAAACACGGAATGTCAACAAAGAGATCGGAACCATAAAAAGAGACCATATAGAAATCCTGGAACTAACAGTTTAATTAATAACTGAAGAGGAAAATTCAGTAGAGGATATAACAGCAGACTTGAGCAGGAGGAAGAATCAGTGAAATGCTCCAGTCTGAAGAGAATGGAAAAAAAGCAATAAAAGAAAATAAACTATAAACATTAGGCCCTGTCACCTCCAGAGCCTGCTCTAAGACAAATCGTTGTCACCCAGTCTGGCACAATGCTTCCCAGGCAAGAGACAGCAAGGCTTCCCCGCCCCCACCAGGACAGGACGGGCACCCCCAGGCACAGGACGGGCACCACCAAGCACAGGACAGGCACCACCAGGCACAGGACGGGCACCACCAGGACAGGACGGGCACCACCAGGACAGGACGGGCACCGCCAGGCAGGAGGCGGCCAGACAGTCCAGTGCAGGTCATGGGCCCATGTATCCCACTTCATGTCTGTCGTTTTTAAACAAGAGCTTGACACTTTTCGTTTCTTACACCAACACCCACATACTCTCACTCCACCTGTGATCAGTGGACACTACCGACACTGCAAGAAGTGATGAACCTAATAAAAAAATTTTTAAATCAAAATTTAAAAATAAAAAAAATACACCTGAACCTAATAAAACAAAATTAAGAAACTGGGGGAAAAAAAGATACGATGGGCCTCACACACCAGCCAGTCTCCTTCAGGACTCTGGTCTCCTTCAGGAAAAACTGCAGTAGGTGCCGCCACACGCGCTTCGTCTTGATCCAGGACACACTCGCACGCCCACACACTCTCACAGGCTCTCACTCACACACGTCTATTTTCACAAGTAAATGTGTGCGTCACTTACTCAGGATGGAATACAGATTAAATAAAACCACAGGAGCAGCCCTCCGCAACCTTGGCAACAATTTCTTCGATGTGACACCAGAAGCACAAGCAATGGAGGGAAGACTCGGGCTGGACCGAATCACAGTGTCAAATTGGTGCATAAAACGGTGCCACTAAGAAGGTGCAAAGACAAGTACAGGACGAGAGAAAATACCTGCACATCACGTATCTGGTAAGAGACTTCTATCCAGAATCAAGAACTCTTATACCAATAAAAAGACAACCTGATTTTTTAAACAACCAAAGGACTTGAATAGACACTTCTCCAAGGAAGATATGCTCGACATCATTAGTCACCAGGAATGCAAACCCTTCCACGGTGAGATGCCACCTCACACCCCCTGGGACAGCTATTATCAAAAAGACAGAGAAAGAGGAGAGAAGGCGGAGACCCTGGAACCCTCAGACATGCTGGTGAGATATGAAATGTTACAACCATTTTAGAAAACAGCTCTGCAATTCCTCAAAAAGTCAGACTCCCAGGTGTGCACCCACGAGAACGAAGCCGTGCGTGCACACAGAAACCACCCACAGGTCCCCAGCAGCATGACTGGCTGCGGCCCATTAGCTGGCGAGCGACTGCACAGACGGCTGCCCCTGCCGTATGGTAAGTGCAGCAGGAAGAGGGTGAAGTGCTGCTGTCACACGCCACAGCACGATGAGCGCTAAAACATGACACTTGTCAGAGAAGCCAGGCACGCACACCACCACTGTACGTCCCAGTCTTAGGAAACGTCCAGAAAAGGCATGCTGAGGCAGATCAGCAGCTGGCTGGGCTGGGCATTCTGAGGGGACATACGGTGACCGCTCCCACGCACAGGGCTTCTTTGTGGGACGCTGTGAATAATCTGAAATTAGGTTACGATTGGGTGGCACACCGCTGGAAACACGACAAATCACCGAATTTGCACATTAAACAGGCAAACTTTCTGGTCTATAAACTGTGTCTCCACCAAGCTGCTAGGAAAACAGGCAGCAAGAGAGTCTAAACGTGGGGTCCACAGCTCTCCTCCGCTCAGGGGGCCCAGCGCGCCCACAGCTGGTGCTGGTGGGCAAGACGCACCCGTCTGCACAAGCATCTCCGACCTGCACAGAAGTCACCTCCCTGGTGTGTGGCATCTGTGGTGACACACTCAATCCTTCACCGGTATCCTTTCCTTCTGTCCACAGAGGCACCGGTGGCCACCTCTAGGGACAGCCCTCCGCCCACCCTCGCTGGGTGAGCCTTGTTCCCAGGGGACCATGACAGCACTCCAGGTGATAAACACAGCAGCAGTGCACACGTTCTTCACAGGCCACAGCGCCCCACCAGGGTGAAAACAGGTTCTGGGGGACGAGAAAACCGCAGATGCCCCAGTGGCTCGTGCCCCCAGTGCAGGTATACAGCGTATCTGTGGTATCAGATCGCACAGCAGGGAGAAGCAGCAGGTGGGAAATCAGAGGGCCGACAGGAGACGCCACGCGGAGAGACAGGGCCAAGGACGTTCTCTCCTGTACAAACTCACACTATCAGCGAGGGCACAGGCTACGCTGGGAGACACCCGCGTGACACGCAGCAAACAGCCTGACTGTAGAGAGAACGTGTGGTACTCACCATCCGCGAGCCGAGAAGGGAGCAGCAGGCCTCTCCTGCCCAGTTCCGCCAGTGCCAGACACCCCCCGTGCCAGGCGTTGTCCGTCTCCTGAAAACTGAGAGCACACAGGATGCCTGAGACCACAGCGCTTTCCACCAGGGCCCGGGAGCCTCGCTAAACCTGTCGGCCAGTTTTAAGACGCCAGCTGGCTGAGGAAATAGTCCTCCATTTCCCTGAAGACAACTGCCCTGTTCAGCCCTCTCCAGATTCCCATTGTGAGCGGGGTCCTGCACTGGCCCCACGCGCTGCCCGACAGAGCCGTCAGCACGCGTCAGCTGGACCCCGGGCCCGACACGTGTTCCCACCACAGCTGCAGGCTCGGTGGCTGCACACCCAGCACCTGTCACCCACCCAAGAAATCGAAGCTCTGGGGACACTCTGGTTCTGTCAAGTATGGTTCAAGTCCCCGGGAGAAGGGGCGGGGCTGCACTGGCTGGAGTCGACAGGAAAAGTAAGAACGGAATGAGTGACACTGAAGAATTTTGTCTGCACTATTTGAAATACAGACTTCCAATAAAAAACTGTAATGTCAGTTAACCAAGTCATGAGTAAAACTTTATATTTAATGAAAACTTTCCTGAAGTGGTTTGGAAACTGTTATTTAAAGGTGCAATTCTGGCATTTAATCAGTGACAGTGACTGTTTCTTAGATTGATGAGGGTTGTTCTGAGACATCCCACAACTGGCCGCCAATGTAAACATGGAGGTTACTTCAACAGCAGAAAGTACAAAGCTCTTTCCTAGTCTAAATAAACTAATTTGATGGCAAAAACGTTTAGGAAAACCAGCTCAACTGCACTAATAGCTGGCAACATGTATGAGAACATTCAGACGGGAGGCAGCCCAGGTCCCGCGTTCGTTCACTCGGCAACCTTGGCGGGTGCCACCCGTGTGCCAGGCCCGCTCTGGGCTCTCAGACACGGACTGACTGACACCGACAAAAGCTGCCCCTTGGACCTCACCGTCAACCGGTGACACTATTCCAACTATAACTTAAGTGACAGGCGTTTTATTAAATGTCAGTCCCAAAGGCTAGATGACCATTTCCAAAATCTAAGAGTGGCATGTTGTGTACTGTGGGTTTAACTGGACAGAGATGCTGTAAGCACTTTGTGAAGATTCGGTAACATTTAAAGAACCAGATGGACGGTCGGCATGGTGGCAACTCAGTCTACCGGAACAATCGCCAGTTCTGTCAGGGTCATTTCTGGACTGAGCGCGGGCTCTGCCATGGCCCACAGCTGTGGCAGGTGGCCGTCACGCCCCTGCGGCCTGAGAGTAGACTAGAAGACTGTCATGTCCTGCCGGCAGTACTGGCCCGTCCGCCCACTCCCCACAGGCACGGCGGACCTCCGGGGGCTCAGAAAAAGGCACCACCTCTGCAAACTTAGTCCCACTCACCGCCTCCAAGGCCTAACCTGCATGGGCAGACATGCATGAGACACAGAAGACACCAACGCCAGCATCCTAGGGATGGCTGGCACTCCACCAGGTGGCTGAGGGCAGCTTCCTGCCCTGACCCAAGCCCAGGCCAGTCCCAGGAGGGCCGGGGGCTCAGAGTGGACACAAGGGACAAGGCACAGTGAGCAGGTCCGACAAAGAACGGCCAGGACGGCTCAGCAGCACTGGCCTCAGAGGGTCAAGGGCAACAGGAGACACCAAAGTGCCAAGAACGACCTCAGGGAGACCGAGTGGAGTGATGGGGAGTGACGGGAAGATGTCTGCAGCCAGCCACTCAGTGTGTGCCCACGTCCCAGAGAAAGGGGTGCCCCTGGGCCACCAGGATAGGGGACATTGTGCAAGGGTCAGAGCGGCTTCACCATCTTCCCTTCCAGTCTGAATTTTTAACTAAAATATCAGCTAATTTTATTTTAACTAAAATATAAAACTAAAAGAAAAGACTGGAAAGGAGTCGCATGGTGACGACGGGGACTGCTCCCTGGGGCCACAGTGGCACCACCACAGGCTCCTCGATGGCTGGCTCTAAAATGTCAGTAGGACCCGGGATCATGGCTGCAGTCTGATTGCCAACTGGAGACCCCCATGGGGCTTCATCCGGCTGCAGACAGAGGACCCCGGCACGGCCGACTGGGCCCTGCTGTCCCCCCACTCCTGGCATCCTGCTTTGCTCTATCCTGGAGGGTCTGGAACGCACTGCCTCTGGGGTCCTGCCCTGGGGTAACGCTGCAGGGCCCTCAAGGGGCCACACCGTGGTTTTGTAGCTGGTGGCAGTGGGGGCCGTGGGTACTGATGGACAGCTGCACGTCACCATGGAGACAGGACACAGGCAGGGAGCAGCAGGCGGGCTGGAGGGGGCCTCACCGCTCACTCTGGTCCCGTGGGGCTCAGGGAGAAGTCCCCTGGGGAACCTGTGCGGCTGCACGCCACACAAACCGCAAACAGAGCAGGAAGGGCGATCAGTCCCGGAGCAGGTGTGTTCACAGCTGATGGAACTCATGTCCTGTTTCCAACCCATTTCAGAAAAAGCGGCAGCTCACCACACATCCCAGCGGGAGACAGCCCCAATTGGCGCTTCTCCCGTCGCCCATCTGCGGTTAACCCCTCCCACGCTGCACTGCACAATCAGGGGCCTCACGCCCATACTGTGTAGGGGCCGCCCAGGGCCAGGCCCCTTCCTTTGACACCCTGTCATTGCTCAGAGGCAGCCCTCGGAATCAAGAGCGGGAAAGCCATTTTCCACCCTCCACAGCCCGCTACGAAAACCGAGCCCGCTGAAATGGTAACGCAAAGGCAAGGACACATCGGGAGACTAATGAGAACGACAGAAGCTGGACAGAGCCTGCCGTGCTGGAGGAAGGGCCACACGGCTGGGCACAGAAGCTCAATGTGCTCCGCCGACACGTGGGGACCAAGGGCCATGGCCAAGGACAGCGCGGGAGGACCGTGGCAGTGCAGGCACCGAGAAGGGAGAGGGGGAGTTCGGTGAAAAGACAGCTGCATACCAGGGAGTGTAAGCGGAAAAGAGAGCAGAAGAAAGTGCATGAGGCAGACAGCCCGGCGGGGTGATGGGGCCAGAGGACAGGCCAGAGGACGCTGACTCCGGGTCCTCTCCTCCAACCCCAAGCCCGTCTCTTAGCTCTACTCTCTCCCGAGAGCAGGATGCTCCACCAGACTTCCCTGAGCTCCTACACGTGCAGCTGTTTAAATTCTAGAAGACAAAATACAACTTGGAATTCAGACCTCAGTAGCCACACATGGCTCATGGCGGCCACAGAGACAAATCCAGAGCGCCCCCTGGGAAGTGTGGACCTGGGGTCACTCCAGTAACCACCGGTTCTCTCTGAGGGTATCTATGCGTGTGTATAGATTTCCTTTTTCTTAAGGTTTTTAAATATAACGGAGTCTAAGCTAAAAAAATACACATACTAGAAATAACCAGAGTTCTCACATTTACTTCAAAGAAAGAAAAAAAACTGAGTTTCTGGCAAATAGCTCGACTGAAAGGAACTGTAAGAGAGTGCTCTCAGCCACAGGCGGCCCCCCATCTCCGCACATACCTGAAACAGTCCAGCACCGACCCGAGCACGTCATCCGCCAGCTCGCGGGGGAGCCTTCCAGCCACCCGGCCAATTCTGAAAGGAAAGCAGCACTCGTCAGCACCGCCAGCCGTCGCAGGCTCATACTCGACCAGCAGCCATCCCGAGCGATTTCCTTCCCTCCAGAGAACGGGAAGTACAGGCTGAGCCACAGCAAACGTGGCACATGCTCCACTCCACCAAAGGCCACCTGGACCACAGGGGGCCCCACGAGGTCGACATAACAGACGTCCGGGCACCTCTGAGGACTGACGCAAAGGGGACGGGTCGCCCATCGCTGAGGTCATCAGCACCCTCCACACCCTCGCCCCAGGACGTGCCCTTGCTCCCAGCCCAGCCCACTGCACTGGCCCAGACTTGAGGCTCAGAGGTCTGTGGGTGCTCATGTGTCTGCATGGAAGCCTCGAACGCCTGGCTGGAAGGGAGCCCAGGCCCCAGCACCTTCACAGCAGAGGACTCATTGACGCCTCCCAGCCTGCTCTGTACTTTGTGGCCCCAGTGCCCGTCCCACTGGCCGGCTCTGTCTGTCGAGCTGGAGGCCTGGCCCCAACGGGTGGGCTGCCTTATCCAGGGGCCTCTCTGCAGGCCGACTCTCGAGCGCAACAGAGGATGAGCACCAGCCCCCTCCCCGGGGTTCTGGCCGTAAAGGAGGCCGTGGGCGCCTAATGCTACGTGGGGCAGGCTGGGGCCGTGCCGACAACGTGCAACAGCGAGGAATGCCGGCGGACAGCAGGCACATTTGGGGCTCATAATTCTGCCTGCTCTAGACAGACAGATAGGCAAGCAGGGCAGATGAGGGGCCTCAAGTCAACCTCAGTGATCACCTTTAAAATCAGAGCACAAAGTAACACATGTAAATTTTAAAAAGTCACGAAACTTTTAAAACTCTCTAGGCCACAAAGTACTGAGTGAGTGAAAGGCTCAACTGACCGGCGTGTACAGCCGCCAGCCCCCAGCCCCAGCTCCCTGCTCAGCGAGAGGCGGGCACCTACCCTTTGGCCGCAGACCAGCGCACGATCGTATCCTTGTCCTTCAGCCCGACCAGCAGCTGCTCTGGAAGGAGACAGGGAGGCAGGTCATGAGGCCCGCTGCCACGTCTGCACCCAGCTGCCCGAGGACCCGCCCTGCCCGACTCTCAGAGAGCGCCTGAAGGAACTGCAATTCTGATGACGTGGAGAGAGCATTTCCCCGGCTATAAATCATCACGGAAGCCGATCTGGGCCGTTGTTCTTAAGCGGCAGACCCACCGGCAGAGCGGCCACGGCAGAAAGCAACAGGAAGGAGGCCCGGCATTGACAGGGACCCCAAGCAGCGAAGGAAGGCTCCCCGAGAACACAGAGGCTCTATATGCGCACGAGGTCTTGGACGCAGGCCCAACTTTGGGAAAAACCACAAAAAGGCCGGAAGGAAGTTGCAGGTGCAAGAGGCCTCGTGGCAAGGGCCCTGCAAGCCGGGTAGGTGGGAACCTCGACGGAGGAGCCAGGCAGCCCATGCAGGTGTGTGAGCTCAGCGACGGGGCAGTGAGCAGGTGTCAGGGAGCCCGCTGTGAGGGGGAGGGGAAGACAGCACCAGAGGCGGCCGGGCACCGTCCTTCACCAAGCTCAATGCCAGAGGGCGAGCCCACAGCGTGGGGAACAGGGGACCCCACTAGGAAGGGCAAGAAGCGGGCCGTGCAGCTGGGGCCTGGTCCATGGCGGGGGCGGGGCACAGGCAGGGAGTGTAGGGCTCATGGCAGCTGGGCTCACTGACGGCTCTGCTGACGGCTCTGCCCCTCCATGAGTGTAGCTCTACAGGCTGGGGGTGGGTGGCCCGGTGGGGAAGCCACGGGAAGAACGCACTGGGTGAGGCGTGGGGAAGGGCGCTGGGGGCTGAGGAGGTGCACTGGGAACGGGGTGGACAGGGAGGGCCAACAGCAGGGAGAAGGTGAGGGTTCTGGGCCCCAATAGCTGTGGGCGTGGATGTCCACAGCAGGCCAGGGCCACATGCTCCCTGAACACAGAAGGGGGTCACGTGATGTGGGAAGGTGGTGGTGCCGCCAACGAAACACACCTCAAAGCCCCCGCCCCCAGCGCCCGCATGGAGCCAGAGCCTCCGCCACCTGCAAGATGGCCTGAGGCACAGGCCACGCACCTATCACGCTCTCCACCTCCTCGGGAACGTCGTAGCCCTCCTCACTGTCGGGGGTCTCAGCATGCGTCCTGGGCTCTCTCAGACTCTGGGCGCAGAGCTGCAGGTTAGCAGCCAAGGAACGGCAGCCACGCTGGTACCTGCACGGAGCACAAGTGACCTCAGCCCGCTGCCGCAGCTCGGAGCCAAACAGACAAGTTATCTTGACCACTGAAATCAACAACTGAGTGTCGCCTGAAACCGTAAAAAATGCCTGTGGAAATACCATGTTTACAGACACGATAGAAAGGCAGAAAACAGGATTCATGGTCATCATCAGAAACCGCCAAGAAAAGACAATGGCCTGATCAGCCACAGGACACAGACTGGAACTCCAGGACGCTCAGAAACCCTCCCGTGCTGTCACATCTGCTGTCACATGGTGGGAAGCTGGGTGACGAAGCAGGGCAGCGAGTGCGTCCGGCACAAGCCACAAGGCGGGCACTGGACTCATCCTTACTCACAGCGGGCAGCGCCTTCCCACACGCTCTGCCTCCCAGTCGCACGGAGCCACCTCCCTGCTCATCCACTGCTGGCCGCCCAGATCCGGCCCCCTGAACCACTCCAAATGCCTCTTCCTCACCCAAGCAGAGGCCACCAGCATCTCCCCAGCACAGGCTGGCTCGGCTCCTGAAGCGCTCACTGCCTCAGTTTCCCCACCTGTAGAATGATGTCCTACCCAGAGGGCTGCAACAGGGACGGCTAAGGGACGTGCAGGAGGCACTCAGAGCAGGGCCTCTCCTTCTGGCAGGTAGTGAGCCACGCTGCAGCAGGTCAAGCACACGAGGGCCCGGCTAAGCATGGCCGGGACAGGCCTGGGGTACAACAGGTGGCACAGAGTGGGTGCTGGGGGCTGCGGCCCGAGGTCCACTCCAGACCCAAGGACTCCAATACCAACTCAGACACATACTGTGGCCTTAAACGACCCATTCTCTCTCTGGGCCTCCGTTTCCAACTCCATAACACAAGGACAGTGACAAGCTGCTCCCTGGGAGCCGCCTCCTGGTGCTCACACAGTCCCTTCCCTGGGTACAGCCAGATCCTGGGACTCTCTCCTGTGGGGCCGTAGCCCTGAGAAGAGACAGGAAAAGGCCGCAGCTTCTGTCCCGCTGCACCCCCTCTGATGTCTGCCCCATGGAGAGGCCCCAGGGCAAGCAACTGCCGGAGGCCGCCAGCCAACAGCCCGGGAGAAACTGGGTCCTGCCAACAAATGACAGGCATATGCCTGTTAAAAACACAGCAGCAGCACAGCAGGCAAGTCCGCTTCTGTGGCAGCCCCTCATTGAAAAGCAATCTCATAACGACAGCAGGCCGCCTGCAGACCACGCTCCCATCACGGGAAAGAGCCCAGCTTCCTGAAGAAACCTGATGGACAAGCTGCTTTCTCTGAAAGGAGCCTGGGATCCAGGCTTATCCCGAACGCAGTGGAGCCTCCCCAAGCAAGCCCAAATCAGTGGTCGTGCTGCAGTTTACGTCACATTTTACGAACGTCACATGAAAAGCTTTTCTGGTCGTCACCCCAGCTCCAGTTCCTCAACTGGGAGATACAGAGTCAGAAAAAAACGCAAACTCTTCCTTCTGAAATCAGAAACACTCGAGACTAAGGAAGAGGACACAGGACCGTCTGCCATGCCACTGGCACGGGGTCACACCCCGTCTACCAACCTCCATGTCGCCACTCTGGGTTTCAGGAAAGTCAGGCCCAGCCGCTGCACGAGCTTCACCCCGAGTTTCCGGAGCAGGGTCTGGCTGCTGTCAGGGAGCCTGCAGGCATCCAGGCTCTGCAGGACGGTGGCAGCTGCAAACGACAACACACTAGGCTCAGTTTGCTGGACGGATGTCCCACACCCGCCCAGGGCACCGTCTGTGACATCTATACACAAACTACAGCGACCCCACAGGCCCCAGATGTAGTGACGGCCCACCCTCACACTGCACCCCAACCCTGTCCATAAAGCCGTTCGTGCTGTGCCATGTACCAACGTGCTGGGGATGGGCAGGTACCTTCCTCTCTGCAAAGTAACAGGCATGGAGGCTGGTGGAACAGAGGGGATCAGGAGAGAACGGGTTCTCAGGAGAGAGGGACAAGGGGGTCTCAGGAGAGAAGGACGAAGGGGTTCTCAGGAGAGGGGGACCGGGGGGTTCTTAGGGGGGAGGGACCTGGGGGGTTCTCAGGAGGGAGGGACCAGGGGGTCTCAGGAGAGAGGGACCGGGGGGTTCTCAGGGGGGAGGGACCAGGGGGGTCTCAGGAGAGAGTGACAAGGGTTCTCAGCCCCCACGTGCCGGGTAAAAGATGCTATGGATGACCAAAGGCTATTTCAGCGGATCTGTGGTTTGTAGACCTGTTGTTTTACAGGGAGCCATGTGTATCATGAAGGGGCGGGGGAGGTCTCTACTGGCAGAAAATGCTGCTGGAGCCATTTGAGGGCGTGAAGGGGGTTCAGCCAGCACAGCGCACAGGTCGGCATTTCATGTGACAGGCAAGGAGGGCTGGTTTCAACACAAGTTGTAACAGCAGGGAAGTCATTCCCTTAAAGACCCTACAGGGTACACTAACGAGTCCCAGGGTACGCTAACGAGTCCCAGGGCAAGGCGTGCAGCAGGGCGGGCCCTGCGCATTCTCTCAGGTGTGGGCACAACATCCAGGTTACATCTCAGATCCACACCCACAGGAGCAGTGGGACACGGGTGTCTGGGTGGGGCGAGGACAGCAGCAGACGATGCCATGAGCCAATACCCAAGGCCTTGACAGAAACATGGGGACTCGCCGTACCATTCTCTTCCGTTATACATGTCTGACATTTTCCATGATGAAAACTGTTTTTACAAAACAAATTCTACTGTTCAAATCTGAATCCTATGTCTCTGTTCCAGGCAGTAAACCTGTCTGCAAGAATCACTGTACCCGTTTTCACAAATTGAGCTTCGATCTAAGATGAAGAAAATGGGGTAAAAGGGCAAAAGATGCAGTGTCGCTTTGGGAAGAGAACAGCTGTGCCTGGGATCCCAGGAATCGAGCCTGAGGCTCCAAGTCACCAAGTCCCCAGAGTCCAGAGCCAGCGTCAGGGACCCAGACCTCCATATGAGGCCTAAAGTCAGATTATTAAAACATAGGCACACACGAAACTAACAGAAAAACTAGAGCATTGTGAACATCCAAACACAGCCTGTTAAGGATGCACTCGCTCAGAGACAAACTCACATCACCACCACCACCCCCCAACCCCGCAAACCTTACCATATGGTAAACAGTCTTCACGCTTTCCATGCTTAAATATTTGTGCCTAAAAAAAAAAGCAGCTCTATTAAAATGGTGCAATTTCATTTACAAATTTAAATCAAATTATCAATTCATTGCATCTTCCAAAATTTTTCTCCTAAACCCCCTCCACCAAATATCGAGAGCAGTTCCCATCCACGATCCGGGAGGGAATTACAGAGCCTGGAAAGCAGCCCCCCAGCAGGGCACCATGAGCAGGGGCCGCTCACTGATGGAAGCCGTCGCTGCAGACACGCGCCCACACTGGAGCTAAGGCCTGCTGCGGGATTTCCCGATAACCTGTGAGTAAATGAAGACATCAAAGAACCCATGTGTGACAGTGAGTCGCACACAAAGGTAAGGAGCCCTAGGACTTGTCCCTAGAGTCTCGCCCATCCCCAGTGGGCAAAGGAGAGGCCCTCCGGCTTCTCGCACATTCACCTCCTCCTGTGGGGTCACCTGGGCCCAGGAGTCCAGCACCCACAGGGGTGCCGGTGTGCACCTGAGCGACGAGGAAGCAGAGGGAAGGGGCCAGCCAGAACTCCCGGCCTCCTGGTGTCTCGTGCTCACCAGCCCAGCCACCACACTTCTCATGGAGGCGGAGGGCAGAAGCCACCGACAGCCACCTGCCAAAAGCACACACCTCAGAGGCAGCTGCAGAGCGTAGGGGTCACAGGACACCTGCCACAGCCCAGGAGGTGACCACGCTGTCTGTTGTTGGAAACCAGCACAGCGCAGGGGGCAAACAAAACGACCTTCTGGGCACTCATTCTAGACACCCGCCCCTTTCAACTGCTAACCTCTCCAACGCAGAGCGGCTTCCCCTCCCCAGGGCATGTCCCCAGCCCATGAGTCACAGCTGTCAGCTGCTAGGAGCAGGAGAGGCTGGTCTGAGCTCCCTGAAGCACCAGCAAGTCAAGGCCAAGAACGGCAGCCCCACCTGGGCCCCGCACCACACCAGCTCTGGGTGCTGCTCAGAGCGCCAAAGAACTCCTGAGAGGTGGCAGGCACTGGCACCTCGCTGCCCTGTCCCCAGTCCCTCAGGAGGACACGCCGATGAGCAGACAGGACAGAGCTGGGCACAGGGAGCTGCCCCGTTCTGCGCTCCGCGGTCTTGTCCCAGGGCTGAGAGGCGGCACCATGCCTCATCATGACAGTCAGGCCACACACAAAGGGGACAAAAGGGGAACAGAAAGGACCGTCAACATCCAAGGGCCACACCTCCTGTGCAAGGTGGCAAAGTGCCCCACTCCGGTCCTCCGAGTGGCACGTCACAGGGGAGCTTCCACAGCTGCCCCTCGGCCCTTCCTGCAGTTCGGGGGGAAAGAGCGCTCCCACCACACGTCTGCTGTCTCAAAGGGCCTGCCACGCCACCCCCACCCCCCAAGAAGTGACAGTAAGCGGACACTGGACAGGGAGTCCTGGGAAGTATTACCCAGGCTGTGCCCCAAACTGGGTACTGTGGGGTGGGGGGCTGGGGGGGCTTGGGAGCCAGCCAGATCCAGGCACCTCCAGACCCAGAAGCAGCAAGGCAGCCTGTGCCCTTCCCTCAAGAGTATGTGGTAACGGTAACCGCATATACATCAAGGGCAACTTCCAATTGTGGAAAGTTTAACTACTGAATTTTAAATATCAATGGCTGGGATAATGGCTGGTTAGAATCAGCTAGGACCCAGAATGAAGCAAATAAATTTGTGTCCAATACATTACAAAGAATTCTAAGTATTCAAATATGTAAATAAAATTAACTTCATAAAGAAACGTTTAGGGCCGGTGAGTGGCGCATTAGTTAAGAGTTGGCTTGGGACGCCAGCTCTGAGCAGCAGGGCCCTGGTTCGGATCCCACATGCAGGCCAGTGACACTGCGCCCTCTACAGCTAAGATGGTGAACAACAGCTCGACCTGGAGCTGGGCTGCGTAACGGCGTAGGCTGCAGTGGGCTGCCGTAAAGCTAGTGTGTGTGGCCGGCAGCCCACGTGAGCTTTCGTGAGCGGCCGTCCAGAGGCCGGCAACTGATCTGCCTCGCCTGGGAAGAGCGCAATGATAGATAATACCAACATGGGCCAGTGAAGCGACATCCTCCACAGCTAGGCTGAAGAACAAAAGGATAGCAACTTGCCTGTTCCCCTTCCTGATTCCCCAATAAAATCTTTTTAAAAAAAGAAACATTTAAATGCTCAAAATAATGACACAGAACTTTGAACTTCCTGTAACCTTCAAGTAAAAGGTACCCACAGACCAAAGCCCCCAGGATCACCACCCACGCCGTCACGGGAGGGGTCCCTGTTTCCAGGGAGATGAGGACATGCAAGAAAGAGCCCAGGAGATGTTGAATACTGTGATTTCCTGTCTACCATTTCCAGGCATAATTTTATGTCACCTGATCTGCTCATAACAGCGTGTCCCACCACCGTCCTGCTTGCCCAATTCACTCAAATGTCCTAGATGCCCGCATGGTAATCACATGCCCAGCAGGAAGCGGCACCCGACTAAATGAACACCCCCAAACCCTGGGCTTCTCTGTGCAGGGGCTCCCCTCCCACCGTGTGCCGTGAGATAGGCGGAGCTCGGAGGAAGGGGAGGAAGCACGGACGCAGAGCCGAGCCCACTGACGGACTGCAGGGGCCGTGGCCTGGGCAGGAACCGCGGGGGGAAGCCAGGAGGAGTCTGGCCACGCCTCGCACCTCACCCTCTCCCGGGGACCCCTCTGGAGGCTGCCTACTCTGGCTGTCCTGGTCCTGGGCACTCTGTCACCCGGCTCTCCCAAGTGACACCACTAAAGGACACAGAGCAAGGCTGCAGGTGACAGCTGAAGGGCTTGGTCTGGCACCCGGACACTGAGGCAGGTGGAGGACAGCTGGTGAGCCCCAAACCAGGAGAACAGGGTCAGGTCCGGGACACTCTTCAGAGCCTCCTCCACGCGGCCCAGCCCGCACCAGAGCACAACACCCAGCACCCTCTTCTGTTACACGGGTGGGGGAGGCAGGAGAAGCGGCCTGACAACACGCACTCTGGACACGTGCAGAGTCCACGGAGACAGACCCAGAGCCAAAGGTCAAGGGGAGTCAGGAGAGATGGCCACTGCCCAGGACAGAGCCAGAGGGACACCGCGTGAGAGGGCAGGGTGAGGGCAGCCAGGTACCATGCCCCTCAGAACGCAGCCGCAGGAGGGCTGGGAGCTACAAGGCCCTCCACGGCCTGCAGAGAGGGACACGGCCCAGGAGGCCTGCGGCTCTCGCCCGGCTTCTCCCACCCCCTCCCCCGCAGTGTTCTGGCATCTGAGAGGCAAGGACAGCCTGTGGCCCACAAGGCCCCTTGCCCTCCACGCGTGGGCCCAGCTGGGCTGCTTGTGAGCACACACCTGTCCGGCAGGACACGTCACCTCGTCACACAGCAGGTGCACAAACCGGCCTGCCGGTGGAATTAAAGGTGTGCCACTGTACACAGGTTGCAACAAGCCTCATGCCACCCCCGTGCTGCCTGCCCCACGTAAAATGCTGAGCTACGTGAAATTAAATCAGTGTCCGAGTTGGCTGCTAGGCGTCTTTATTCAAACCCAGGGGGCTGATGGGGCCTCGTTTCACCAGAATGTGACAGAACCACAAACCCACTCAAGTGTTCCGACACCTCCCTCCACCCAGAGCCCTGGCCCAGGCAGTGCGGGCACTACAGGCCCAACGGGGATAGCTGTGCTCTGGCCACTCAGGTGAAACCGCGTGCTGGCCTCCAAAGAACCCCAGCAGAAGAAAAGCAGAGCCTACGTGAGAATAACCAAGTGGCTTCTCTTCATCTTCAAAGAGCAGACATTCACTAATTAGCCTTCGCACCACCCTCGGAGGTAAGAGGTGTGTTATTTCCCTTGCACAGGGGCCGAGGAGGCCACACCTCTGCCTGGGGTCACAGGTGTTGCTACAACGTCCCCAGGCCGGGGATTGGCCCACTTGGATCCCATCCTGGGGCCAGGCAGGGGTCTGGCACTGGGCACCAGGCTACTTCCCGAGCCTGAGCTGACCCAGGGGCCAGAAGCCTCGCCCTGCTCACACGGCGCTGGGCAGCCTGTCGCTCCCCTGGTCTTACTGGGGTTGTCGCCCGCCTTTCTCCTCTAACACCACGACCCTTCTGTCTGAGAAAACAAGCTCCACCTTGATCCTAGCAGCTGGTAAACAAGAGGGTTTTGCTGCCACTGCCAGCACCAAACGTGTTTTACACCAGTGGTAAAGCTCCCGCCACCTCCCCGAGTCTTCCACCTGAGCAGTAGAAGCCAAGTCCGCATATTCAAGTGACAGCCATCCTCAATTTTAATATTTGTGTTCCCTCCTGAACGCCCTCTGTTTGCATTAATCCTTACGCTTACAGGGCTAAATCAAGGGTGTTAAAAAGCCGGAGCTAGGGGCCCCCAGTGCTGAACTCGCCCAACACTTGCTTCCCTCCCTGAGTTAAAAACCGTCGCTGCAGGAGGAGCCCACTTCCAGGGAAGTGAAAACCAGCGCCAAGTTTCGATGGAACTTGTCACGAGTTCACCTGTTTCGCCCAGCCCACAGTAATGAACAGGTGGATAAAGGGAAGCCAAGTGCATCAAAGGAGACAGAGGAAACCCTCCAGCAAGTCCCATCACGCCCCGCGGACGCCCCGCGAACGCCCCGCCCGCCCGGCTGTGCAAGTCTGACAAGCTCCTGGTGAAACCGCTCCCCACTAGCCTGCCCGGGGCAGGGGGCAGCGCCCAGCTCGGCTTCCCCTGCCCAGGCGGCAGCAGTCATCAGACCAAATTGCTCCCCTGAGTGAAGAAAAGGAAACAAGGCACATGATCCAGAAAGGCCCCAGGCTTTCCAGGCAAACACGGGGCTTCCAAAGGCTCTGGATGGGACGCACGCAGCCAACGCTGCTGGGCGGCTGTTTCATTCACGCCCATGATCGGAGCTGCTGCCCGAGACAACTGCTCACTGTCGCTGCGGGCTAGCCTCGCAGATGGCCTGAGGTGCGGCCCACACACTGCCCAGCGTCCTGCGCACAGGGCATCCCCTCACGCCTCTGCCAATAAGCTCTGGAGCAGAGGCAGGGCTCCTTTAAGTGTCGGAAGATCTTGTTATTCCTCGGGAGGAAGAGGGACAGGAGCCCTCCCCTCCCCGTGGGGAGCACGGAGATACCCACCCAGGGGGCACTGCCCCACTGCTGCCTGCACGCTCAATGCAAGGAATGCTCTCCGCTGCCTCCGCGGGCGGCAGAACAGGTAGCCGTCGGGGACAGTCTGGAAGGGGCAAATCCAGGGACAGGAAGCAGGTCAGCGGCGCCAGGGGCTGGGGAAGGGGCGGGGAGAGAGTATTGACGGGTGTAGGGTGCCCTCAGGGACCACGAAAGGTTCTGGAATCAGATGGTAATGGTCGCACAGCCTCGTGCATTTATAAAATTACCGCTCAAGTATACACTTTAAGAGGGTGAATTATTAATGGTATCTGATGACACAAAGGTTTCTTTAAAACAGACACCATCCCTGAGACAGCCGAGTGGCTCAGCTGGTTAAGAGCTCACTTAGGAGCGCCAGCTCTGAGCAGCAGGGCTGCAGTTCAGATCCCACATTGAGGGCCAGTGACACTGCCTTCTACAGCTAAGATGATGAACAACAGCTCGACCTGGAGCTGGGCTGCTGTGAGGCGACGGCGTGGGCTGCAGCCCGTGGCAGTGGGTTGCCATGGGCTACCGTGAGTGGCTGGCAGCCAGCGTGAGCGGCCGGCAGCCAGTGTGAGCTGCTGTGAGCGGCCGAACAAAGACCGGCGACCAATCTGCCTCACCCGGGAAGAGCGCAATGATCATACCAACTTGGGCCAGTGAAGCGACGTCCTCCACAACTAGACTGAAGAACAAAAACAGCAATTTGTCTACCTGTCCGTTACCCTTCCCCGATTCCCCAACACTGTTCCCCTCCCAATTCCCCAATAAAATCTTTAAAAAAAAAAACAGACACCGTCCCATTTATTCACAGAATGGAAGGAAGCACGTAAAAACATGCTACCTCGAGGGACTACAGGAATCCTGAAAATGTTCTATTTTTCCAGGTTTCTTTTTAAGGTGTCTTGAAATATTGTTATCATTGAACGGCAATCCCTCCTAAAGACAACACAACATGGACAGAAACAGATGCCAGGCTGTCAGCTCCCTCAGTGTCCAGAGCGATGAGGGACCAATGGCTTTCCTGGAGGGGCCTGTCCACTGCCCTGGGGGTCACGCCAGCCCCTCGCCACCAGCCTCACAGCCTCCCACACGCCATTGAGACGTGCACAGGCAATGAACGCAGACGAGGCGACACCCAAGAGGATGACACCACGCTGAGTCACGGCCCATCTCAGCACAGCCCACTGTCCTGCTCCCCCGAACGTGGGCTGACGACCTCTATATCTTCCCAGACGAGGACGAGGATGAGGACGAGGTCTGGCCCGCTGCAATTACAAGAACAGGAGGAGGCCCTGAGCCCACCAGGTCTGCGGGCGTCCGCTCCCCCCAGGGGAGGGCTGGCCCAAGAGCCACCTGGTGTGGGCAGCTGCCCGTCCCTCTTCTGCAGAACTTAACTGAGGCCGTTCCTCTTCGTTAGCACTAGAAAAGGCAGCCCCACAGACCACAGAGGAGCTGGGCAGGAAGCTGGGAAAGGGTGGGTGCTGAGTCCGCGTCTAACCCAGTTGTTACAAACACCCCGAGTATCTGCACAAAATCAAACCTCAAGTCACCTGCCCGATTTCATTAGAGCCGTTCCCAATAATTACTCTGGAACACAGGTGAGCAGCAGGAGCCAGAGGATGCGCCCTTGCCTGTCCCAGGGCCGCCAGGCAGGCCCAGCTCTGCGGGCACCACCGCCCCCTGGCGGCCACGCGCAACGCCAGCTCAGCCCATCTCCACTGGGGCAGCATGGCCTTGCTGACAAGCCACCCTGAGGGCCACTCCAGAGCAGCGGAAAAGGCGTGCTCACTGTCCTGTTGAGGCCCGTCCTACCAGAACTCATCCTGCTGTGTGGACAGCCCCCACCCTCACCCTCCAGCAGTGTTTACCAGGGCCTGCAGCATCCCGTCCATGGTGATGACCCCCTCGATGGTCTGGAAGGAGGACCGGGCCAACGTGCACAGGCTCCAGTCCAGGAAACCCGCCATCTTCTTCTCTTTGACATCGGGCCGCGTGACAAACCTGCCAGAAGGGAACAAACAGGGAGGTGACAGCTCAACGCAGGCCCCACCCAACTGGCAAGAACTCACTTTTCCCAGCCCCCCACGTCCTCTGTCGAGATGAGCATCCACACGGGGACATGTGTCCTTTGCACTACAAGTTACATCCTCCCTCCAGGACCGACATCCTACAACACTACCTGATCTAAAAAATGAAGACACTGTCTGGACTGTGGCCCTCCAGTGGCGATTCCCCACCATGGCTTCTCTGAGGTCACATGCAGGCCCCACCGCCCCATCTGCTCCATCCTGTGCCCCTATTCACCCTGAGGCCCCATTCACCACAAGGCCACCTTTACCTGTCCCACCTCTGCCTGGGGGCCCCCAATGCCTACTCTTCAGCCCCTCCCGCCTCCTGGGGATGCCAGGCCCCCACAGGCAGGGCCTGGCCGGGCAGCAGGCCCAGGTGTCTGCCTGCATCCCCCCCACACGCAGAGGTCCGGCTGGTATCCATGGCCCCACATCCCAGGCGTCTGCTAAGGTCTGCGCCCCGCCACTCAGGCAGGGTATACGAGCTCCCACCGGCCCTCTTGTACACCTGGGCTGAGCTGGGCTGGCGGTCACCCTCCAGTTCCCACACCACAGCTGGGCGCTCTCTATTCCTTCCCAGCCAGTCCACATGCCCATGCCCAGCTTTCTGGCTCACTGGCTCAGGCTGAGCCCCTGCCCTCCTGGGGGAACTTGCATCCTGGAGCAGAAAAAGGCAAATAACATGGAGGAAACAGCTGAGTAAGGGGAGGTGGGAGGTGGTGCAGTGTCTGAGAGATGCACGGATGAGTTCCCAGGGGCATGTGTGACCAGAGAACCTAAGGAGGACGGCCACAAAGCTGCCACAAACTGCAGGGACCTGACTGAACACTTGGGGCTCGGCCCCAAGCGGCGGGAGCAAGCCCGTGTCAGACGTGCTGTCCCAATTCATGCAGAACCACACATTTCCCGGCATTCCAGAGTGTCTCCTGTCCTCCAATCTCTGTCCCTAAACCCGGAGGTGTCCCGGCCCCACTTCTGAGATAACCTTCCTGTGGGAATGCCACCTGCTGGGGAACCCAGGGTTAGGGTCCCCTTCTGTGTGCCCACCACAGCTGTGCCCATGGCTCCTGTGGTGCTCAGCACACAGCACTGTAGACACCTATGCCTGTCCCGTAGCCTCCTGAGGACAGTGAAGGCCTCATTCACCGCTGGAGCTCTCACACTAAAAGGAGATGTGTCGAAGTCATGAGCGCATATTCAGGAGAAAAAAGGAGATGAAGTTCTGGGAACAGCTCTGAGACTTTAGCACTATATGTTGATCTTACGAAAAGACTGATCACTGGAAGGATAAATCCATGTTGTTGAAGTAACTAAGGAAGCTATGGCAATTTTAATAGACTTTTTGCTCATCTTGTCAACTAACTGACCTTGTCTAGTTCATTCTCATCACGAGTGGGACTGAATCACTATCTCTGTTACAATAACTACCCTAAGGGTACCAGTGGCAAAAAGCACTTGTGGCCTTATTACTACAGAAGTACTTAGCATCGATGCACCGGATAAGTAATTTAAAAACAAAAATCAAATTTTTTGTTATCCTAGAAAACCACACCATCTCTTCTGCCCACACAGGCCGGGAGCCTCCTGCCGCCCCAGCGGGAAGCTCATCCCCAACACACAGCCCCTCCCTTCCGCCGGAAAGCCCCGCCCACTTCCAGAAGCTCAGCCACAGTGACTGAACCAAAGTGTGAGGTCTCTACCTCAGGACAAAGGAGGTGCGCACTGGCTCCAAGGCTGTCCTGCCCACGCCCCACCCCTGCCTGAGATTGTTTTATCAAACTTCAGGATGCTGGTGACAAAGGCAAAGCCACATGCCTCTCGTGGGGGGGCAGGGGCGGGAATCGCACCCAGCCTGCACCTCAGGTGCTTACGTAAGTGGACAACAAGTTGTAGTATCCATCGCAAAGTCCTGGGCCCCGTTTGAAGCCCCTTGATTCTGGGGGCCGCAGATTGAAGGCCAGGCCCACCGCGACCTGATCGTGACCAAGCTTGGCCCACCAGCCTGAGATAGCAACACTCACAGGACACAGTGTGCAGGCCTGGTGCCCACGGGGGCTGCCCCGACAGGCGAGGGCACAGGCCCAGAGCACCCACAGAGCTGGCAGATAGCCCGGCCGCCCCTCCGGAGAACCCTGCACATCTCGCTGCATCCTGCCAATGCCACTGGAAGCTTCACCTCCAGGCCAACCCCCGCCCCTCTGCACCAGCTCCTGGCATAGGAGGTCAGCCAATATCCCTTCCTGAACAGTCACAGGTGAGCTTCCAGGTTCAGGTAAAAACCTGAGGCTCCTTTGAAAGAGCTCAGTGTGTTATTTTGTATTTTTATATTTTTCTCATAAAAAAGTAGATGTGTTTACAGCAGAGGTCCAAAAATACAGGTAAGCAAAAATGGAAAAAATATCTACCCCGCAGATAAAACACACAGAGTTACAAACAGGACGCTCTGCACACTCCAGTCTTTGACCCTCCATTTCTGTCCCTTTCGGAGCAATTCCATCCCAGGCCACACCTCTTCACTAGGGTCTCAACAACAGGCAGGAATTCTCGAGGGCCACTGCCCTCCTCTCAGGGAGGTAAGCCCCACAGCACGGCTGTCAGAATGAGCAGCAAAACCTTAACTACAGAACTGGACCCATCAGAGGGACAAAGGAGACCAGGCTAAACATTCGTGGGACGGCTACTCCAGACCCTTGTGGGTACTGTTACCACAGCTGCAACGTGGTCTAAGAGTGAAAGAGGACCGGTAAAGGACATGCCCTACCCCGCGTAGAGCTTACCGTGCGTTTTTAAAGAGCAGTATAAATTAATGGAAAAGTGAAATAGTTACCAAATGGTGCTAGAACTAGTCACCTGTTGGGGGCATCTACTGTATGCCTGCCACCAAAAGAAATTCCAAATCGGTTAATAACTGTATATTAAACAATAAAAAGGTAAAAAACATAAATGACTATTCGTAAAATCTCTTAATAGCTTAAAAGTAAAAATAACTAAATAAAAGGAAAAAATTACTGTTTCTACATTAAAATTAAAACTTCTGGTCAAAGAAGAGAGTAGAAGGCTGCCAACCACCTGGGGGACTAGGACCCACCTGTGTGCAGGTCAGCATCCTGCACACAGAGGAAGCTCTGGCTGGAGGGGAGGAAGAGGCACCAGGAGGGGAGAGCTCACAGGTGTGTGATGGCTGCTAAGCCCCAGCTCTCAAGGAGCCCAGACACAGTGCAGTAGTCAGCAGGAATGTGAAGTCCAGTGACAAAGTGACAAAGCAGGACGCTCTGAGGTGCACACTGAATGCACAGAAAAAGACAAAAGATACAGCATGTGTTTTTGTGCATTAGCATTACAAATGCGTGGGGTTTTTCTAATTTTCTTGCTCCACAATTTCGCCTTTTCTACATGAAGCACCCCTTGCTTTTATGATGAGACAGAAACACCTGCTTTTAAAATGAATGTGATCACTGAGGGTCGACGAGGCCTAGTTTGTACCACGAGTTCTATAAAGGAACACCAGAATCCAAGTGTCTCTCCGTGAGCAGATGCAGCAGACAGGACGGCAGGGCGCGGCCCGGGGATGAGTGCGTGCATGGCACGGGCAGCTGTTGCGAAGCAGCAGAAAACGGGCACTGGGGACAAAAGCCGCTGGGACCGCTCTACACCCAGGGCCTTCCTGGACCAAGCCGCCGGAGGACTGAGAAGACAGACGGGCCATAAGATGGGCCGACCTACAAGCTCAGAAGTCGGCCATTCAGCGCTTGCGCCCAGCCCAGGAGCGTTTCCAACGCGCTGAAAACAGGCGCCGACCACAAGGAACGCTGCTCGCGCCGACCACCAGAGGGCGACGGAGAGCCCTGCCGACCCCCGGCCCGAGCAGGGCTCTCTGGCTGCCGCCTCGCCTAGAGCACAGGGGCTGGGAATGGAGACGTAGGGTTTCACCTCCTCAGCCCCCGTAGGCTCAGCATCACTCTACCAAACTATCAGTATTTCTGGTAATGAGAAAAAACAAATAAGACAAACAGGTATTTTTCATTTAGCAAATGTGCAAACATTAGTAAGATTGCACACATGGTTGGTAAATATGGGGGAAAGGTTGAAGAACTTGTTCAGCCTCTCCAGTAATTGCATTTAAAGCCCCTAAAATGCTTGTTCCGCTTCTAGGAATTCATCCCTAAGCACCGGCCAGAAGGGTACAGTATGTGCTGAATGTCTGAGGCAGTGTTCACTGCACCACCCAGGTGGCGGGGCAGCGGTGTACATGTCCAGTAGGAGGCCAGGGGTCAAACGTTCACACCGTCGTCATGTTTGGGAAGGAAGGAAGGAAAGCCCCTGGTACCAGCCGGCGTGGGCACCGACAGGCCACACACAGTGGCAGCACAAGAACAACAGCACTTATATCTGGCGATGAGAGTACATGTGAGTTTTATCTTGTACTTCATACTTTTAGTTTCCAAAACGCACACTGCTTCTATAATTAGAAAGAACCCATAAGGCTTCTCATCCTTGTCGAAACCATGCCTATCTGGTCAGTCCCCCAGGGGACATGTCTGGGGCGGCTCCCGTGTGTCCCTCCTCACTGCAAGTATCAGCTTCTCATGTCCAGGCTCTGCCCTGTAGTCCAGCAAACATCTCACCCAAGTCCCCAACTGCCCTGGAAATTAGGCGTTCCCCCTCCCGCTTTGTGCAGGGTCACAGCTGTCTACCTGAGCATGAGGCAACCCTGAACCTATGAAGGTGTTGTCTGTTCCCCGATCAAACTCGAAAAGTTTTTAGAACCAATTTTCAACTTTCACAATGTAGACGGAACCAAAAAAGTCAAACTTCCTAATTCATTTTCTCTATATACATATTTTAAACCACATCGTACAAAAGGTTAATGTAGAAAAACTGCTTCCTTCCGTCCTCACATTCCATGGAACAAGTTGACTCAGCTTTCCCGTGTGTCCGGGGATTAATTATTCAGAGACTCCAGGCTCGCCCGCTGCGTGGGTCATCGCACCCATCCTCACCTCTCTGAGGCACAGCCCATTTTTCAGTTAACCCAGAATGTCGGGGGGTTTTATCCCAAGCCACAGTGCCCCCATCACAGCTCACGGTCTCCACAACCCATAGCGTGAACTGCTTTCTAAGTGACTTTTAAAGGCTCCTCTAACTGCCAGCACCCAAAGCTGAGCTCATGCCCCCGGGGTAACTGCTACATCTGCTCTAAATCCACACTCTGCTCAAGTGCTGGGCCTGTCAGGTGACCTCCGAGCCCCTAGCCATCACTGTCTGTGGTCATATCAGGTTCCAAGATCTCCACAGAGCTGGTGTTCCCTCAGAGAAAGTGACAGAGCACTGTAAAGTAAGAACGACTTCCCCAGGCCTGTGAACCCGGTGCCCTTTTCTAAGGAGAACACACACACAGGTAACAGGTCAGACAAAGGCTCTCAGAACGCGTGGGCACACACCACCCACAGGGCTGCAGGGCACTTACTTGGATACGAGGACAGCAGCTGCATCCCGGGCCTTGTCACTGACAACCAAGTAGGACTGCAAGAAAGGACAAAGGACAGGTACCGTTACACTCAGTGTAAACCTCAGGGACCCGCTCAGCTGGCCCGCCCCATACTCAGCAGCTTCCCAAGAGCCCAGCTCACGGAGCCGGCAGCCAGAGGCCACACTCCAAAGCTGCACGCGCCCATCCTAAGCCTGAGCCAGCTAATGCAGCTGCCCAGGTGCGTCCCAAGCCCACGGTCGTGTGTGGTCACATCCTGGGAAACACACACAGGCAAGAACAGCAGAAAAATGAAACGTACATGTCACCTGACTATATCAGAATCAGTGTCCACGGAGCACATTGGAGCCCATCGGCAGTTAGGAGGCCCCCCCACATGGGAGAGGGACTATGTTAGTACAAACGGCTGGCTTCCCTTAGGACGCCCGCCTGATGAGGTTTCGAATTCTCATCTCAACTAACTTTTCACTTAAAAGGTCTTTATTCTGGGCAAGTTTCTGGAGAACCACAAACACAGGGCCAACACTTTAGAAACGTGCCGCCCCTCGTGGCAACGCCACCCAGGGACAAGCACACACATGGGACATAAAGGTGCTGTCACCTCACTCCTTCTAATGGGCACAGATAGAAATACATACAAAACGACCACCTACGAGAATCTTCAGGACACAGTGGAGCACCTTTCCCTTAAAGATCAGGATAAAGACATCCACTTACTGACACGTGACATTCAGGACGTAGGACAGCAAGGGCCCTGATCAATGTGGGCCGGGTGGGGCAAGGGTCCGCAGCCAAGCTGCCTGGGCCTAAACTTGGATCCACCGTTTATGAGAAGATGAACGAGCTAAGTCACCTGTTTTTATGCCTGCTGTCTCCTTGGCAAATGAGAAGACAAACAGGGAGCTGCCTCATTGGCAGCCTTAAAGGACCAACATGTGAAGAGTGTTTAGAACGGTGTCTGGCACACAGCGGGTGCCCACTAAGAGCCTGGTGTAAGTGTGCAGACAGACTCAACGATGTGTGGTCCTCCCATGGGGGCTGGACACAGTGACCTGCTTCTAACCAAGGGAACGTGACAGGCGTAGGATGTCAATTGCATGACCTGCGAACACATTTCCGTTGTGCTAGCAAACCCTGCCCCTTGCTGGCTTTGCTAGAATAAGCTGCCACGTTGGGGGCCCACGTGGCAAGGAACAGCCAGCAAAGAACTGAGGCCCTTAGCCAAACAGCCCTGAGGAGCCGATTTCTGCCAACCACCACACGAGCTTGGACGTGGACCCTGCTCCGGGGAGCCCTGCCGGCAGCCTGGGGAGACTGTGAGGCAACGGCAGAGCACAGCCACACCAGACTCCTGACCCACTGAGATGACAAACGTGTGCTGAGCTACTCAAGTAAGGGTGGTTTTTCCGCAGCGATGGATAACTGGTACAATGTTCTGATTACACCCACAGGATTCACATCAGGAGGCCTGAAGAACATGCTCAACTGTCAGTTCGTGGCGCCAGAATTTGAGAGACTTTAATTTAATTTAATTTGTTGCTTTTATTTTCTAGTTTTCCTACAACAAACATGTATTTACATAATTTTGAAAGTTAAATTAAAACTAAATTAAAAATGGACCTTTATTTTCTCTTACCATTGCCCCTGAAATCTCTGTCATTATTATGCTTAAGAGTATTTGCAGTATCTACAAAGAAACAATATTTGCTAAAGTAATTCATCCTGACCCCTGTATGAGTTACTACAATTTCAAAACAGGTTATGAAATGGAATTCTATGCCACCAAAAAACAGTAACAGCAGTTGAAGAGATATACAAATGTCCAAGTGTGCCTAATTAAACTCTACATTGACAGTACGAGCACAAAGGAGAGCTCTGACCAGCAGGAACTGTCTGCGGCCGCACTCACCTCTGCTATCTGGAGAATACGGTCCATTATGGACACTCGCGTCTGCCCAGGCTGAGTTCCCAGGTTCCCATCAAGGCGTGAAAAATCAAAAGGGATCAGGCAGGCCACGGAGAGCCAGAGGAGAAGCATGTAGCGGGTCTCCCAGGTCTGCGGAGTTAAAGCAAAGGGAAATGACTCCTGTGGGAGGTACGGGGGCCACACGCCCCACTCAGCCCTGTCGCCCTCCCTGCCCCCTCAAGGCCCACAGGCCCTTCAGACGCCGGTGAACTTAGAGCCTGGGATGCGGACGGTCATTAGCTCCTCCGGTGTCTCCCCGTCCCCACACCCAGAAATTCGGACTTGGCTGGCTGCCTCAGCAGAAGCAGCAAAGTGAACAGGAGAACCATAATACGTCAGTATGACAGCTTTTCTTCACTGGCTCCCTACAGCGTGCACTTAGCCATTTTGAGAAAGTGGAAAGCATAGAAAAACATAAAAAAATGGCAGACTTAAGAAGAAAGCAATGGGCCGGCCAAGTGGCGCGTTGGTTAAGAGCTGGCTTGGGACGCCAGAGGGCCCCAGTTCGGATCCCACATATGAGCCAGTGACACTGCCCTTCACAGCTAAGATGCTGAACAGCTCAACCTGGAGCTGGGCTGCCGTGAGTCGCCAGCAACGGCATAGGCTGCAGCCCCTGCTGCAGTGGGTTGCCATGGGCTACCGTGTGTAGCCAGCGGCCAGCGCGAGCGGCCCTCAAGCCGCCATGAGCGGCCATCCAGAAGCCGGCGACTGATCTGCCTCGCCCGGGAAGAGCACAGTGATAATATCAACATGGGCCAGTGAAGCGACATCCTCCACAACTAGACTGAAGAGCAAAAGGACAGCAACTTGTCTGTTCCCCTTCCCTGATTCCCCAACGCTGTTCCCATCCCCCAATTCCCCAATAAAATCTTTAAAAAAGGGGCCGGCCGAGTGGCGCGATGGTTAAGAACTCGCTTGGGATGCCAGAGGGCCCCGGTTCGGATCCCACATATGAGGGCCAGGACACTGCCCTCCACAGCTAAGA